CAGTCTGCTTCATTATTTTGTATTTTGTTTTTTCCTCTGTCCTTATTTCATGTTTTGGTTATTTATCAATAAATACAGCTAGGGGGGGGGGATTGTCACACAGGGAATCCATACTCTGTTTGGGCAACACGTCGCACTTGCCCCGAGATGAGTTGAAAGTTACAACTCGCCGCGGGACATAGGCCTCAATGACGCCTACACACAGAGTACCCTTAGGTGGCGCCCTCACTCAAGTACCACGTCGTCCTTGCCATGATATTGGTCAAAGGCGACCAATATCATGGAATAGACGGCTAAGACGCTTGTACGCTGAGGCTCTCGATCCCCCTACTTTTTCTCGCATATCAGTCTCTTGTGTCATTTCTAGTGCGTTAACTGCTGTTTTTACTTATTGTATATGCTTGCTTTTAACCGTGCATAAAGTGCATTAAAAAAAAAGTTCGCTGAAACAGTATCTATGCATGGGATTACGATATGGCCATTTTTCTATCAAACTGCACACATGTAGACTGATCTATAAAGGAATGTTAAATGACACTGATATTAAACTGTGACTCACTAGGTAGGGACCTTTTATAATGTACAGACTGTACAAATCAAGTTATTTTTCAGACTTTCTGAGTAATCACTAGACAGATTCAGCGACAGATATGAATTTTTTCTGTATTACACCAGTCAATTGCTATTGCTATACATACAACAGATGAATCTATTTTGTCACATGGTAAATTACACACAAAAATAATTACCATTGTGGATGTTAAATATCGATCCCGCCTTCCCAGTTCGATCTAACACGTACACAGAAATACATGCAGAGATACTACAATGGTATGACCTTCGTTTGTCCTGTTTTTACGTTCATGCATATGATCTCGGGGGGTGAAAAGAAAATGGTTTATTGCACAGGAAATAGCTGTTATTTTTTTTTATTTTGATGACAGACAATTTCATGAGATTAACTCAAATTTAAGTAACTACTAATGGTAATAATGTACATCTTCTTACATGTATTTATAGTTTATTCACTAGGTAGGGATTCACAAACACCCCTGGTGAGTGAGAGAGAGTTGAGTTGCTTGCTAATGGATCATAACTCCTGCAAATGGATGGAAAATCCTGTTTGGTTGGAATTCAATGACACACTGGCATTTATGCCGCGAATCCCGCTGGTTATTACTAAACAACGCAGCAAGTCATCTTTCAAAGATACAATGATAATTGAGATTAATGGCGTAGAATGGATAAAAGCCGCTGTTCATTGAAAGGAAATGAAATCGCACACAAAGCCACGACCCGAAAAAAGATCGTATTTCCACTGATGGATCTAAACAATGGGATGGTTCTGCAAGTTAACAAACATAGCGAAACTAATGTAGCCTTACCCAATCACCTTGTGCATATTTTTAACATGCGTCATTATTTTTTTTGCCATAATTTTTTCCCCGCCAAAATGTTTAGCATGTTTCTACAATTTCTTCACGAATTTAAGACTTAATGAACATAATAATAATATCAAAATGCTAATTTTCGATTTAAGAAACTAACTTCCATTTTTTTTAGGTACAGGTTACAAGAAAAAAATGCATATTTTTCTGTAAAATGGATAAAATGAGCAGGCAATAATAAGAGAGAAAACAGTAGTTGAATCTTTATCAATGTAAACACTAAAGATTTTGCCAGTCTATGGCTTGTGGGGGTTGATCATTAAAAACTCTGAAGGAAGAGAAGGATATTTTTTTTATTTCCCCTAGTTTTGCGTTCAATTTGAATTCCTCCTGTAAACAAATTCTTTAGTTTAAATAGCTTTCCTCTATCATACAAGTGGTTTTAAATAAATATTTAGTTTTCTGTAAATTTTCCAGATTTTTAATGTCAGCTTCTTAGTGATAGAAAAACAAATTAACAAAAGCATGATTACCATGTTCTTGATAGAGGTCATAGGACATCTGAAGGGATTTTTTTAATTAGTAGAAAATTACTGATACAGACTTATATTAAAGTTGACTGCAAGCGTGATTCCCTTGTCGGTATTTCTTCAGTGGTTTGACAAGCAGCATGTCGTAACCATGGAGAATACAGACAATATACAAATGCATGATATTACATTCTACTAGCCCGTAGGGGCTCAAGGTGCACTGTCACAATCATAGTATTTAATTAAAAAATATTTATGGCGCAGCGTTTACTTGAACGATTGCTACTGAATGGATCCAGATACTGCACAGTGAGAGTGCTCACATAGCAACCATTTTAAAACGCAGGTATAAAATACCCAAAAAATAACAAAACCCAAAAAATAGCAATACCCAAAAAATACATTAGGATCATGACTGAAGGGTACTCAGTATGCTGTGCATCGACCTCCGCTGCGTGTCGGTTGATACTTAAGCTGTACTGTCTTCGTGCATACTTTGAGGTATTCTCGTAATAACCTTATATTATTATTTGTATTCGAAGATGCACCTAACTCGATTTTTTTTTTAATAATCAAGAACTAAAATGTCATAATTTTAATATACATAGATGCTCTTTTAGAAGCATTGTACCATTTTAATTTAAGCTGCTGATACTAATACAGATTTTACATTAATACATGTACTTATATGTATATGATTTTATCAATTCAAAATTGTTGTGAGTGTTTTTTGGAACCACTTCAGCCTTGCTACATAAACAGTGATACCGGTACTTTCATTTCTTTATAAGGACAAATGTTTTAAAATTATTGGCTTTTTCTTATATAAACACATTATCCTATCTTTGTAAATTCAGTTCTCTTTTGTTCTACATTTGTTGCTAGACCAGATTCTCTAATACAAAAATGTACTTAGATTTAACATACTGTGGAATACTTTATTTTCGCTTGGAATTCATTTTCGCTATTTTTCGTTGAAGGAATGATTCGGTGAAAATAAAATCCAGCGAATATACCTTTTTTCCATTCAACTGGTCAAAAATCAGTGAAAATAAATTCCATACAAAACACCAAAAATATCTTTTCAGCGAAAATTATTTCCAGCTAAAATAAAGTATTTTACAGTAAGCGAAACAAAAATTTATATGTTGGTCAGAAATCAGTGAAAATAAATTCCATACAAAACACCCTAAAATAAAGTATTTTACAGTACTCACATGTTAAATGTTAGATTTAATTTATTACACTGTGTAATCAATAGAAGTTCATGTGTTCAAATGTGTGCTTGTATACTACCGGTCCTTCATTTTTACATTAAAATGTTTCAAACAGAATCAAAAAGTTTCTATTGGCCAATAGAATAACATTGGAACATTTCCAAATGATGTCATCACAAACAGCACTCAATGATTGGGTTGTTGGATTCAACTGCCATTGAAATTTCTAAATATTTATAAAAATAAAGGGAATGGGTTTGTAATGTTGATAGTATTTTATCAGCCCTCTATTTGATATTTTAAAAGGATGCAAAACAGAGAATTTATTTAAAACTGTAACTGCTTTGAAATATTTTGAAAACAAGATGGTAATGAATAGTGTTGGTTCTGATTTACGCTGATTTACAACATTGTAATAATAACAGAAAAGAAGAGTAGATGAACTACAACAAAGTTAGACAACGATGCTTGAAAAATCAACTGTTATTTCACTGTGCATCATCATCTGTAACACCAAATACAATATGCAATTTCCCAGTGAATTTACATAATTCCTCATCACCTACCTTGAAAAACAATTTTGAAAAAAAAACAGGACAAAATTACCGGTATGTAACTCTAATTTGTAAAAGGTGGCAAAAGTTGACTGTGGCAATCAATTGGCTTAAACACGTATACAACTCTGACATTTAGGCTAGAGTCAACATGATTTTATTTCTAGTAACTATACATCTATTAGTGAATACGCAGGAAGTTGATTCACCCACTGGCTGATTAGATCAGCCGATAGTGAACGTGGGGAGAAAGGAACACACTGAAAAAAAACATTAGGATTGAAGCAAAGTAATGATGGAACAGTATTTTTTTTAATTTTAAGTTAAAACTACTAGCTGCCGGGTACTACAGTTATATTTAAATTCCGGTGTGTATTCTCAATGATTTAAATAATCCACTAAGGACGACTTTCATCCCGATATGGCGTAGCTCGAAGAAGGTACTGTCATCAGCAAATACGTGAATCTAAACAAGATTTGAAATAAATGGAAAACATGGCCTTTTGAGAAAAGCTTTGAGCATGCATAGGTATCGGGCACTAGAAAGGCAGATGATAGTATGAGTCATACTCTGTAATGACTGTATGTGCTATACATGGCAATTAATGACTTTCTACGTATCCCATTCTACAGTCTTCAGGTTCTATTGTTGTGCTACTTGCGCTACCATTTCACTACTAATTCAAATACTTACTACCATACAATGAAGGGCCATTGCCGGAATCTCAGATTATTTTGAAAAAAATGACTAAGGAGTATGATTACCAAGGCCATATTAGGGACAGTATTGCTACCAAATCTGGATCAGTATCGCCACCAAATCTGAAATAGTATCGTTACCAAATCTGGAACACTGTCGCTACAGAGTATCACGACCAAAACGACCAAATCAAGGACAGTATCACTACAAAATCTTGAACACTAACGCTATCAAGTAACGCCATCAAATCAGAGACAGTATCACTACCAAATCTTGAACACTAACGCTATCAAGTAACGCCATCAAATCAGGGACAGTATCACTACCAAATCTTGAACACTAACGCTATCAAGTAACGCCATCAAATCAGGGACAGTATCACTACCAAATCTTGAACAGTAACACTATCAAGTAACGCCATCAAATCAGGGGCAGTATTGCTACCAACACTGGACCAGTATTTCTACAAAATCAAGGACAGTATTACTTCAGTACAGTACTTCTATCGCACTCATGGGGATAATTTCTCTAGCACACCAGGACCAAGTAAATTCTGCAATAAACTTTAGAATTATAAATTTGAAATACTGAATGATACAAGGCAATAAAACTTACTTTGACAGGGATATTCCACCAGGCTTTCCTACAGCTTGCTCATGATGCATCACGTTCTCATCCCAAGGAAGGTCCAGGAATTTCAAGATATTCCGGAGCTGTGGCTCTGGGTGTAAAACTAGTTGTTCATAAAACACAGGGAGACAGTACTTAGATCCCACCTGCATACACTGACTATACATATTCTCTATCGCCATATTCCATTTTTGAAGACAGTCCTTATAACTAGTGATGTCAAATCCAGATATCGTCACTTTCCGAGAAATGATGGAGTGTGTCGTGGCCCGCCCATCACGAACCATAAGAATGTACTTTGCACTCGGGAATAGGTCTCGTAAGTAAGTCATTGACTTGAGAGTGAATGGGTCCTTGTTGCAGAGCCGTGGGGCCGGTTCTCCGTGCTTGGCAATTACTTCCAAGATAAATGCTGATAAGGCATCGTTTATTACGCTATCAGTGAGTCCGGCCTCTACAAGCCGATTCCATTCTTTAGGCGAACGTTTCCATGATTGTCGCATGCCTAGTAATCTCGGGACTAGTCGAGTCTCTTCACCGCATCTCACATCATCATGTGCGTCCAGCATTGCACGCATCAGTGTTGTGCCACTACGCGGCACGCCACCAATGAACACTAGTGGCATGTTTCGGTCATAAGTATATACCTGGTTGTTTTTTTCTATAGTGATCTTATCGTCCTTGGGTACCATACGACCGGTGTACTCTGGTACTTTGTAGCCGTTCCCACAGGGCCAGCCGCCATTATGAAGATAAAAGACCAACAATATAATACCGACTAATACTAGTCCGAAACGTAGGTTACTATGTCGTCTTTGCATGATTTGACTAATTATTCGCAGCAATAGCATCAGTTACAAAATAAATACTAAACTAAAAGCAAGACAAATAAAAACACGAAAAAAAAAACTTTGGTAATGTCGTCGTGGCAACCACTTTTTCCAGCCTCAAGATCCTAAACAGTACCTCTGCCCAAAGGAATTAACTTGGCAAATTCACAGCTCTGCAAGAAAAAAGAAAATAATTTAATAAATAAAAGTAAGTTACCATGACAACACATGACAAACCATTCATTATTAACCAGACTACATTTTACAAAATTGTTCAAACGAAATGACATCTGGTCATAACTGACTGTGATGAAAACAGAAAATGAACAATTTGATTTGAATTTCCTTCATCTAGAAATCGATCAGCTGCCATGTATTTGTTACATATCTACAACATATCTACAATTATGTTTATGTAGTTTTAAATATGCACTGAAACATAAATCTGATACATTTGGTCACAAACTATATTCTTAGACTATTTATCTTAATAAGTATAGTATATTTTATTTGACACTAAATAATATATTTTGTTACATTATCTGTGGTCAAAAGACATTAAATATAATAAAACACAAGTACACACACGAGACAAAGAAAATACATAAATAACTAAAGTCTAAGTAAAATTACTTATAGTAAAATAGTATGCGGTCAATAAATTTGCTAGCACTATTGGCAATGAACCCATCTCTCGAACTTAAAATTTTTGTAAACATTTGTTGTTTTGATAGTTTAAGGATACTTTCATTATAAATGCTAACTACATTCAGAAATTCAGTACGAGCATTTGTTATTCCAGTATGGTTACAGTCTAAAAGTGCATGGATTTCATTGCCAATAGCCCCATTGTTACAAAGTTGGCACTTTCTTTCCTCTGGAGGTATCCCTTGATATCTAAGTTTTTCAATTGGTAGGGTATGTGCAGATATCCTAAATTTGGTGAAGCTGGTTCTATGTTGTGCATTTTTTACTTGATTCAAATATGGTTCAAATTTATATGTAGGTTTGAACTGAGTGTATGTACGTAATTTATTGTTTTGGGTTGTCTGGACTGTTGGTAGCCAAACTTTTTCAACATAGATTTCTTTTAATTTTGACTTAAGCAGAGTATTGTCATCAGCATCACCAGTTTTAGTTATCTCCTGTAATTTATTTACAAATGTTGCCCATGTATTACCTTTGATTTTGGTTTCTGAGATGTAAGCACAATGTACTAAGTGACTGCAATTGCTGGTGTTGTTTTCAATTCTTTTCTTGTATTTAAATAATTGTGCACATATTTCAGTAATAACAGGATAACTTCCAAGTTCAGCTCTAGAAGCAATATTACTTGAACGCCTGTGCACTCCTAATACACTCTTATAGAACTTAATGTGAAGTTGCTCAAATTGTGATCTGTCATTAAAGAGATTATTAACAAATCTTTTTGTATCAATTTGATCATCCTGTTTAGATTTGTAAATCTTGAATCTTAATAATCTATTCATTTTGGCACTGAAACAAACCCTTTTAAGGTTACGCCACCACCTGTGAATGTTAATTATCTGAAAGCAGATGATTAACTGAAGTCAGGTAAGGCAAATATGATAAATTAAACATTAATATTTAAAACTTAAGTTACGAAACAAAAGTTACACATTGTAGTATTTAACATGTGCAGCCATAATGTGCTCTAACATATTCTAATTTTCAACTGAAAACAGTCCTTAGGGAACTCACTTAATCACCCACTCACCTACCCATGCACCCACCCACCTATACCCACGCAAAACCCATGTACCCACCCACCTATACCCACGCAAAACCCATGTACCCACCCACCTACCCATGCACCCACCCACCTATACCCATGCAAAACCCATGTACCCACCCACCTACCCATGCACCCACCCACCCATGTACCCACCCACCCACCTACCTATGCACCCACCCACCTATACCCACGCAAAACCCATGTACCCACCCACCTACCCATGTACGTACCCACCCACGTACCCATGTACCCACCCACCCACCTACCCACCCACCTACCCATGCACTCACCCACCTACCCACGCACTCGAATCACTCCCACTTATTCATCTCTCGCACTAGCTCATTCATTATATCGCTTTAGTCAAACAAGTGGCGTAACTAACTGGCCATTTATGCACTCACTGAACTCAACTCATTCTTAAGCATTCAGTCATTGAATCACTCAAAAACCCATGCACACACTAAAATCCCTGTCATTCACTTACCATACTCATTTGCTCATTCAATCATTCTCTCTACCTTGATCAATCAAACAATCAATTAATCAATCACTATACGAGTCAAGACCAAATCTTATTTACATGATGTGCTTGGTGCAAAATATAAAATAAATTCATATCCTGTAAAATACTTTATTTTCGCTGAAAAGAATTTTTGGGTGATTTGTATGGAATTTAATTTTCACTGATTTTTGACACGTTGAGTGTGAAATATAGGAAAAAATGTATATTCGCTGGATTTTATTTTCACTGAATCATTCCTTAAGCGAAAATTAACATTCATTCAGTAACATTCATTAAATCTATCGTCTACTGACACTATTTTTTCCCCGATTCATTTTGGCCATTTACAACAGAAGACGTGTTGACCAAACGATAAAATATAAAATCGATTTATCTAAACTGCTTTAATTTATATATGGACAAATTTCATAAAATACTGCGCAATATTGAAAGAAATTTGCTAGGGGTGTGCTGAAAGACGAAATCTTGTGAAAATCACAGACGTTTCGTCCTGTACTGCAGAGAAATATTTCAATTTTCCCAATTTTCAAATAACGTCACTACTACATTATCTCATACGATTAAATATTTATAAAAATCAAATGATTTGGAACAAACAAATGAGTAAACAAAAACTAAAATAGCGTCTGATACGACTATAACTGTTGCAACATTGAAGTAGTTTCTCAAGAGCTTTTTTATAATAAATAATAAATTTTCAGTCGTCTTTGGATTCACACCAAATGACCGAAATTCACAGCAAGGTAACAAAGTTGAAATGAAAAAAGGGCGTTATCGTCTGCACAGATTGTCCTCATTGAATCTGTTTTACGCATTGTACTGTATCCTATGATTTTGTCGGTTATAGTTTCAGTAAGATATCGTAATTGTTACAAACGCTATTCAAGAAAATTTATATTCCTCTCGAAATTAAAGCAGTTTTAGAATAAGTTATATATTCAGTTTATTGGTACAAAATTCACAGCAAGGTAACAAAGTTGAAATGAGAAATGTCGTTATCGCCTACACAGATTGTCCTCGTTGAATCTGTTTTACGCATTGTACCGTATCCTATGATTTTGTCGGTTATATTTTCAGTAAGATATCGTAATTGTGACAAACGCTATTCAAGAAAATTTATATCCCTCTCGAAATTAAAGCAGTTTTCGAATAAGTTATATATTCAGTTTATTAGTATGAGATGAGATGAGATGTGATAATCAGTAGTGGCAGAAAGCAAGATAAAAATAATTACATATTTGAAATTCATTCATGTTATATGGTTGAAATAGACCGTGAGACAAATACAGTTAGTATGCATTTGCCTTATTGCACGTTTTGGCAAAGACCTGTAGTCAAATCACAGATCTTATTCACAGCGCCTAACCCTTTTCACCACCTATTCCCTCTTTTCATCACAAACTAACAAAATAGTCCCGTTTATAGTCTGCATTTTTCTACAGAAGATTAGGAAAAAGATAGCAAAATTGAGTGAAAAAACTGAAAACTGACTCAAATTTTGTCTGTTGGCACCAAAATTAGGGCTCATTTCCAGAAATATTGAAGAATATAGGCAAAAAGTGCAAAAAAATTTGGCCGAGAATGTCTGGTGATGAAAAGGTTGAAAGTCGCAAATTTTGTACTGTTTTGATCACAGCTTGCATATTATTTGAAAAAGAAATTCTCAAGAATAGTGAATTTTCCTCCAGCAATTTAACCACCTGACAAGAAATGAACATTTTTAGATGCTATCAGTCCACCTGTGTGTTTCTTGCCATTTATAGTACACAAATACCTTCATTGATCTCCTAATTTTACAACCATGTTATCATTTCAACACACTCAGCTGCTTAAAACTATGATTTTAATTTTGCTTCAAACCATTCAATAATGCATCAATATTTAGGTGGTTAGGTTGGACAGACAAAATCAAGAGGGAGTTAAAATAGGAGATGAGAACCAAAGTGATGGCAGTGAACAATATGGGAGTTAAGAACCAAAGTGATGGCAGTGAACAATATGGGAGTTAAGAACCAAAGTGATGGCAGTGAACAATATGGGAGTTGAGAACCAAAGTGATGGCAGTGAACAATATGGGAGTTGAGAACCAAAGTGATGGCAGTAAACAATATCGGAGTTGAGAACCAAAGTGATGGCAGTAAACAATATCGGAGTTAAGAACCAAAGTGATGGCATTGAACAATATGGGAGTTAAGAACCAAAGTGATGGCAGTAAACAATATGGGAGTTGAGAACCAAAGTGATGGCAGTGAACAATATGGGAGTTGAGAACCAAAGTGATAGCAGTAAACAATATCGGAGTTAAGAACCAAAGTGATGGCAGTGAACAATATGGGAGTTGAGAACCAAAGTGATGGCAGTAAACAATATGGGAGTTGAGAACCAAAGTAATGGTAGTGAACAATATGGGAGTTAAGAACCAAAGTGATGGCAGTGAACAATATGGGAGTTGAGAACCAAAGTGATGGCAGTGAACAATATGGGAGTTGAGAACCAAAGTGATGGCAGTGAACAATATGGAAGTTAAGAACCGAAGTGATGGCAGTCAACAATATGGGAGTTAAACGAAGTGATGGCAGTGAACAATATCGGAGTTAAGAACCGAAGTGATGGCATTGAACAATATGGGAGTTAAGAACCAAAGTGATGGCATTGAACAATATGGGAGTTAAGAACCAAAGTAATGGCAGTAAACAATATGGGAGTTGAGAACCAAAGTGATGGCAGTGAACAATATGGGAGTTGAGAACCGAAGTGATGGCATTGAACAATATGGGAGTTGAGAACCAAAGTGATGGCAGTTAACAAAATGGGAGTTGAGAACCAAAGTGATGGGAGTTGAGAACCAAAGTGATGGGAGTGAACAATATGGGAGTTAAGAACCGAAGTGA